GTCAGCCCCGGCCTCCCCACCAGCTCTGCCGATGCCCCTCAGGCCCACCCTGCAGCCCCTCCCCCTCCCCTCTTGCTATGTCAGCCCTGGTTTCGCCATTCAGCACACAAAGCTCAGGCAGCCAGAAACACTGAGGTGCCCCCCTACTGGGGGGGGGGTCTGGCACAGAGGTGAGTCCAGCCCAGAACTGACCATTTGTCAGCCCCACGCTGGGCGCTCTGATGACTGGAGCTGGGTCCCAACTTTGGCTCAGGAGGGTTTGCAGACCTGCCCCTGTCCGCTCTGCCCATCCTTCGCCCTGAGTGCCAGGCCAGGGCGAAGCGCCCGGGCGCCGCCCACCCCTCGCCAGCTGCAGCAGAGACAGACGCTCGCTGCGGGGCAAAGGCAGGTGCTCCAGGGGAGGCAGCGCTGGCAGGCCCAGCCCGGATTCAGCTGCTGGGGGTGGGAGGGAGAGCAGAGGGGAGAAGCACAAAGGCCCCATTCAACCCTGGGCACAGCCCCTCTGCAGCCCGCCTGCTCAGCCAAAGGGGCAGAAACACGGGCAGGGCTTCCCTGTGTGGGCAGCACAACCCATCCGCAGGGCTCCCCGCATTTCAGACGGCTCCGTCCTCTGGTCCCCTGGGAAAAATAAAACATAGAGCGACTCCCCCTTTCCCGGTAGGTAACATGGGGCCATTCTCCCTCCCTTATAGATAACAGAGGGCTGCTCCTTCATCTCCTGTAGACACTACAAGACTGCACCCACATCCCCTATAGATAACATGGGACTGCCTCCGTCCCCTATAGATAACAAAGGGCTGTCCCCCCCCCCAGTAGATAACATAGGGCTGCTCCTTCATCTCCTATAGACAATACAAGACTGCACCCTATAACACGGGACTGCCTCCGTCCCCTATAGATAACACAGGGCTGTTTCCCCTCCCTTATAGATAACCTGGGGCTGCTCCCTCATCTCCTGTAGACAATACAAGACTGCACCCACATCCCCTATAGATAACGTATGGTTGTTCCCCATCCCCTGTAGACAATACAAGACTGCTCCCCCTCCCTTATAGATCACATGAGGCCACTCCCCATCCCTTATAGATAACATGAGGCTGCCCCCTCTCCCCCAGATGACACAGAGCTGCCCCCTCCCTCGCAGACCCAGCGGGACCGCCCGGGGCCCGTTACCTTGGCCGCGCGTGCTTGCAATGCAGATTCACTTTGAAGTTCCTCTCACCGCCCTCTGTCTCGCTGTTGGGCTGGCGCAGCCCGGAGCCCTGGGCGCGCTGGAACCACTCGGCTGGCGGGCTGGCTCCGTTTTCCAGGCCGATGGGCTGGCAGGCGAGGGAGCTCCCATCTGTCAGAGAGGAGCAGACAGACCCGGGCGCATGAGCAGAGGGGCTGGGGGGAACGCAGGGTCTAGGGCAGGGGAA